CTCTATATATATATATACTTATATATAATATAAACTTAAAGAGCCAGGTAACTCGTTTTGGAGTTTTTTTTTCTTCTTTGGACTCTGAGCTTAGATTCTGGACGATTGTTTTCGCCACAATTTCATGTTCTTAGTTCTTTCTTTTTATTATTCCTCACTTTTCCTTGGGTACTAGTTTGTTCAATTACAAGCCGAAATACCTAAGGGTTTTCCAAGCGAGTACCACTATTTATATACTTATATATATCAGTGCTCACCCAATGCAAGGCTCAAGGGGCACTCAAGTTAGAGGGTCATTGTGCTGTCTTGTATGAGTGTAAGAAAGAGAAGGAGTGGAGGTCTCGGGGCTATGCAGGAAACAATATGATTTACTTTAGACTTGAACAGGTCAAAGATTAATTAGTGAATAAAATTTCAAAGTTCAGACGTAGACGTTACCGGAAGCCCAATCCTAAAAAGGAAACAAGGAATAAATCTTTCTCTCTCTCACTCTCTTTATAAACACACACACACACACACACACACACACATATATATATATATATATATATATATATATGTGTGTGTGTGTGTGTGTGTGTTTCGTCGAATATGGCGATCAAGTAATCCCTGTTCCGATAAGAAAATTACTTTCTAAAAAACATCTAATTGTAAAAGATGTTTAAAGATAATTGAAGCACTATATATAAAGTTTTTTTGAAATCGGGTAAACCTGCCGACAGTTTTCTAAAGTTACCTCAACAGAGAATTACTACTACTTTTATCCAGCACAGCTTAGAATTACTTAGTAGGACCAACATCCTTTATGAATTTACTTGTCTCTTACGGAAACTGCGTCTGTGACGAAAACAAATTCATGAATAATGATTACATTGGACATGCAACAACATGCTTATCAAGAAGCCTTACTTTACATCTCTCGGATCGTAGCTCCATTAGGGACCATTTAAGTACATAAAGGGACCTACAAACCTCTGTCTGCAAAATACTTGTGGAAGATATGAAGATAATAGACTCAACCATTTATAAAAAAACGATTAAAAATAATTGGAGCGTTAATACTAAAACATGAAGATACCAACTTTCAATAATATTAATTATGAACACGATAACTACGTGCTGACCGTGTTTGGAATTTAAAAAACAAAACAAAACTTTCCCAACCCTATATGTAGATAAAAACTCTACGTATTTACTTGAAAATAGTATGACTGGTCTTTGACCTGATAAAACGCGTTACAAAAATATTTTTACAACTTGTCGTACCATTTTGTTTGTTGCTATATAAAATTATAAAAAATTATAAATCGTCATATTATACTCACTCGATAAACTACATCCGCGTCCTGGGTAAGACGATAAACTACATCCATCAGCAAGGCCTCTGATCAAGTTTTGAGGAGCGTGGAACAACCTCTTATTTGCTGGTGTTTCCAGGACCACCCTGACTCGGGGTGGTAGCATCTGCTAGGGTCCGAGCTATGGGCAAATAGTTAACACCCAAACTGGTGTCAAAACACTATGAAAGTTTAAAAATAGGTATTGATAACAGAAATATTTCAAAAGAAATTATTACTAGCAATAAAGTTTTGAAGAGAAATTTATTACCAGCAACATATTTTTGAAGAAAAAATATTACCAGCAATAAAAATTTTGTCGGTATTAAATAACCCATTCAGGTGTTGATATGCCGTAAAATAAAATAAGCCAAAACAAATCTAAACAAACAAAAATCCATAATAATCTAATAGCGCTCTGATCCCCAGATCATTAATTTTTTTTTACACACTCTATATCCAAAAAGGTGCTCCATAATCTCGACCTTGTGCAAGATCTAAGCTACGTTAAGGTAAATCGCTGTACCAAGAAAGGATGTGCGGGCGGTGTAATGAGCATCGGTTCGGAATGAAACATCAGAGCGTTCGAAAGCCAGTTGGGTTCATTACATTCACTTATGTGAAACACCCATGGTATAGGTCTGGAACCATCTCTACTCCCCTCAGCTACGGATTGAATAGCAGGACAGATTGGGTTCTATAGCCTTGTTTGGCAACCAGTCTACTGCAGAAATAAACGGCAAACTACTGCGGTAAAATTTTCTGACTAGTCAGTTATGAATCAAAAGAGACATGATCACCCAAGCGTGTATCACGTAATCCAGAATAGAAATCCCTTGTACGATTGCAAGAATAAATAATCAAATATATATATATATATATATATATATATATATATATATATATATATATACAACCATATATATTTATATATATATATATATATATATAAATTTGGTTTTATATATATATATATATAACCATTTTTATGTATATATATATATATATATATATATTTGGTTATATATACATATATATATAATCATTTATATATATATATATATATATATATATATATGTGTGTGTGTGTGTGTGTCTATAACTAAATGAGAGAAAAAATAGATGGAGTAAAAATCCACAGTTCGTTATTATGATAAATTACAATAAAAACATTTTACATCGCTACACAAAAGCTTTGATGTTTCAGTCCTGTGATGGTATTTCTTCAGACGATCGTAGATAACTTGTGATAAAAATGATTTATTAGGGAAATTTAAAAAAAAATTTTTTTACCTCTTTTCGTAAGATTTTTCCTTTAAACATTTAATCATTAGTTACTTACCATCGCCTGAAGGAGTACAATCAAAGTATTGAAACATGAAAACATTTGTGTAGCGATTTCAACATGTTGTTATTATAATTTATAATAATAATAATAGTAATAATAAAATATACATATACATATATATATATATTTATATATATATATATATATATATATATATATATATATATATATATAGAGAGATAGATAGATAGATAGACAGACAGACAGACCGACAGACAGACAAATAGAGAGAGAGGGGGAGGGGAGGTTATATTGGTGCGTAAGTAAAGTGAGATTTTGTTTAAAAATCTCAGAAATGCCTTTGTTGTTTTCTTTCTTTTCTTTCTAGTCAGACGTTTACCCTTTCAAAGACCTTATTTTTATTGTTTTTCTAACTTGTAGGTTTGTGTGTGTGTGTTTTTTTTTTATTTATCTTGCATAAAATAACGCTTAATCTACTGCCCCTTTCAAAATGGCCGTTTCCCACGCAGAGTCAGACTTGTTCTGTGATATGGCATTTATCTACAGCCCAACCAACGAACGAGAGCCGAGGTCAACCATGGCGGTGGGCTGATGGGAGCAAGCTACGTGCGATAGACAAGCGGTTGTCACACACGCACACTGGTCAGAATCCTAAGGAATTGTTCATTTTTTTTTTTTTTAAACCAGAGAAAATGTTCGGTTGAATTTGTTTCCTTCTACAGGCAGAATTTATGGACGTGGATGCATGCCAAGTTTCCCGACAGATTTCCTTTTGACAATCTGTATATATGATGTAACAAAACGAAATCTATGCAACAAGATGTAAATATCAAAAAATAAATTATAGCCGGTTATGCGTAAGTTTGAAAAAAAAAGAAAGAAAAAAACCCCAAAAAACAGTGTGAAAGGCTGTTAAAATTAGGCCATCTGAAATAATTTATACATAGATTGTGTTTAATCAGTAACTTTGGCAACAGAGTGGGTCAGGCAGAAAACTACGTTACAAAGACCCTGATGCCTGAGTTCGAATCTCGGGTTTAATTCTTCAGAAGAAATCAATTTTAACACTGAGGATCTAATTTTACGTGACAGCAGGATAAAACCGCTGAGCACTCCCTGATGTCTGTGGCTATTATTTTTAAATTATTGTCTTTAATCGCTATTTCCATGACAAATGTTTAGATGAGCTCCATTCGTTACTTAAGACATTTTTTTATAGCTAGGTCTCGCTATGTTACGCCCACAGAGTCGAAACAGCCACGTTTCTCCCATATTCCCTTTGTAAAGAGGAAGCTTTATTCAAACGACCTTTTTTTCCCAGAGAACTGCTACTTTGAGAAAAAAAAAACCCTTCCGTGGATCTGGATACTATAGACTTAACAAAGTTCCTTATTTAATACAGCTCAATTATTGTTTATTCCTTTCCCCCCGAGTCCAAGTACAAACTGCCTGGCCCAGGGATTGAACTCAAAATTATTATATCTCCAAGAACTAGACGAGATATTCTTAGACATGATCAGCAGAACAAGAACAATCTATACCCGTAGATTAAATAAAGGGCTCACTTTGAAAGTCTCTGTAGACTACCAGGATAGACACGTGAAGAAGGCCGAAGAGTACAACGGCCGAAACTTTGTTAAAAAACAACAAAAATGGGGGATATCATGTAACCCTTCAACCTCACTCCCACAGGCGAGATGTGGCAAGTCTTTCACTGTTTTACTGCTACAACCACGGAAGGTGTTCAAACAACATTCCCTGGTCCCGCCGAAGCAAACCTTCACGGCTAGGACCTGCCACGCCACTTACATTGTAGCAAAGCACCCACATTCCATCCGCATTCCATCAGTGAGAAGGAAGTTCCACTCGAGCAGTTTCTTCCCGTCAACCACTGTCCTGTGGAGCCGACTCCAAAGAGAATGTTTCCCTGATCACTACAATCTTTACCAGCGCGTTATCTTTCACTCCTATACACACAAATGGCTCCCAAACGTAACCCTCTACCTCGAGTGACTCCCGGGCTTCGTAAAGGGTGAACCTCGCTGAAAAAAAAAATGTTTTTATCTGACATGGTTTCGTTCGGAAAATCCCTCCATTCTTTCCTGTATAGTTCTGATTAGATTAATTACTAATTTAAATGATTTTAAAAGATTCTCCAAGCAAGGATCGAACTTACGTTTGTCTACTGAGTCGGTAAATCACCTTCACCTTTTAAACAAATTCCGTCATGAGAGATTAAAATAAACCATTAACTCTCAAATTCTCTCCGCCCACTCATCAGTCTGTATTTGTCTTTTGTCAGTACAACTGTGTACACTAATATGTTGAAAAGATTTCAACATATGAGTTAGAAATCAGCCCCTAAGGTTAAAAACATTAAGAGAAACGAAAGCGGAAGGGTAGGTAAAGGGGTGGTAGAAAAAAGGTGGGGGATTGGGAAAATGGGGAGGAATAAAGATGAAGAGAGAGATAGAGAAAAAAATAGGGGTTACTGAGAGGGAGTGAAGATAATGCAGTGGAGAGAGAGAGAGAGAGAGAGAGAGAGAGGAGGCGATGAAGGTAATGTGGGAGAGAGAAAAAGAGAACGATAGTAGGGAACGGTTGAGTACAAGAGAAGAAGAGAAAAAGGAACGGGAGAATGGCGAAGCGCGTGAGGGGACGAAAGAGATATGGGGGGAGGGAGAGAAGAGGAAAGGGAAAACGGGGAGTAGGGGTGAAATAAATAGAGAGAGAGAGAGAGAGACGAGGCGGGCGAGAGAGAGAACAAAGAAAGAGAAAACGAACATGCGATCAGAAGGAGAGTGAAAAAGTGAACAATAGAGGGTTAGAGATGTGAGAGTGGAAAAAAGAAGAGAGAGAGAGAGAGAGAGAGAGAGAGAGAGAGAAATACAAGTGAGAGAGAGAGAGAGAGAGAGAGGGGGGGAGAAATTGTTGAAAGACTTATGGCTAAAAAGGTCATCTTGATAATTTGGTGACATGAAAATTGTAGATTCCCGCAACCAGACCAAATAAAACATGAAAAAAATGAAATTCTGTTTTCATTACTGCGTTTCTTGATCTGATGCATTCCCTCACGAGCGTACAATGCTGCTATGTTTTCCGAAAAAAAAACATGTCATTTATTATTAAGCTTAATACGGCAGAAGGCTAGAATTTGGTTGCTGGGTGGAGGTAGAAAAATTTCAAGATGGAAAAAGGCCTGTTTACTTTTAAAATCCATTGCATTCACTTACATGCCAATACCCTTGGGAAAGGTATGAATCCTCTTCTTCTCCTCCCAGCTATGGGTAAATAGCAGGACAGACCGGGTTCTATAGCCTTGGATGGAAACTGGTCTACCGCAGAAAGAAATGGCAACCTACTGCGGGAAAAAAATCTGCTTCGTCAGTCATGTATCGAAAGATACATGATCACCTGAGCATGTATCACGCATGGCACATAACTGACTGGGGAGAGGCAGGGTGGAGTAATGAATAGCGGCTCAGATTGAGGGAACGGAGAGCCGAGTTCGAATTCCAGTCGAATCGATTGCATACACTTACGTGCTAATACCCTTGGGAAAGGTATGAATCCTCTTCTCAAGATATGGGTAAATAGCAGGATAGACCGGGTTCTACAGTTTTGGAGCGCAACTGGTCAACCGCAGAAAAAAATGGCAACCTACCGCGGGAAAAAATCTGCCGCGTCAGTCATGTATCGAAAGATACATGATTGCCTAAGCGTGTATCACACATGGCACATAACTGAAATGAACTACATACCAGGATATCATCATCATCATCATCATCGTCATCAGTCTCATAACGGGGCGTGGTCATCGGGTCACCGGGCTCCTGACTAACTCCCACCATATATCTCAGTTGCATCTCTGCTCTATTGCTATTTCTATGGAAAGTGCTCAGACGAACTGCATTCCTTAGTTCCACCCGCCATGCTGCACATATTGCAGCGAACCACCCCCATTCTCTTTGTATTCCATCGATGAGATGTAAGTACACCTCGAGCAGCTTCTTCCCCCGAATCTGTGGAACCGACTCCCAAGTGAATGATTTTTTTTCCCCGATCACTACACTTATTAATTAATTATACTTAATTACGCTTAAAAAATTATTTTTTTTAAAAATCAGTTTAATTTCCAAGGTGCAGTAACGGATAGCGGCTCGGATTGCGGAATCGGAGAGCCAAGTTCGAATTCCAGTCGAATCCATTACATTCACTTACGTGCTAATACCCTTGGGAAAGGTATTAATCCTCTTCTTCATCGTCCAGCTATGGGTCAGTAGCAGCACAGACCGTGTTCTATAGCCTTGGATGGCAACTACTCTACCACAGAAAGAAATGGCAACCTATTGCGGGGCAAAATCTCCCTAGTCAGTAATGTATTGAAAGATCCATGATTGCCTAAACGCGTATCACACATGGCACATAACTAACTGATTTTGAATAGAAAGTTATTTTAAATTTGTTGTTTGGCAGTATTTTAAGCGGGTGGGTTGCTTGACCTGAAGCTATTTCTAACTGGGTCATAGCAGCAAGGTTATACGCTTCTTTTATCAAAACCTCTTAACATATCGGACACGTTTGGCTGTGGTGTATGTATCTGACGCTATCGGACTGGATGGGTCGATCCCAGCGTGAGACAACCTAAGGAAAGTGCCTGAAAAATCATACCACGGGTTTACCCAAGTCTTGTGAATGAAACTGGGTAGATGGAACCCTTGGGGATGGATTTTTCTAAATTGTTGATCACGCAAGATGACAACCCTAGAAACTGTAACTAAATTGTATAAACCACAGGTGGGCTCTGTGGGTGTTGAGTAAACACAAATGCGTCGGAGCAAGCGTCTGCAATAGGGATTTGCTACCCTAATAGATGGGTATCCCCGAATATGAGTGGCCAGCTATACACGCTCGCACTCAATAATAATAATAAATGATTGGAAAAGGTTCCGATAGACTCACTGGAACAATTCTTGGTAGCCCACGCCTTAAAGAAAATACAAAATATTGGACTCACAAGTATAGCTCACACATTACAAAGAGCTTTATTTATGTAAAATGTGAATGTTCTTATTTTTTTTTACAAAAATTATCAGTGTAAAAAGTCATGAAGTCATTTCTGACGATAGGTCCCTGGAAGAAAATGTGTATACAAAAGAAATACAAGCAAATAATAATAATAAAAAAAAATCCTAAGGGAATACTACTACTACTACTACTACTACTACTACTACTACTACTACTAATAATAATAATAATAATAATAATAAGAAGAAGAAGAAGAAGAAGAAGAAAACAATACAAATAAATAATAATTAAATAATAATAAAATAATAATAATTAAAAATAATAATAAATAAAATAATAATAATATAAATAATAAATAAATTAAAAAAAATAATATTAATAATGAATACAATAATGTGGCACATGGGAACATCAACAATCCCTGTTGTAGTTGGAGCCCTAGGACTGGTTGGAAAAGATTGCAGTAGATTAATTGAAGGGATTCCTGGAAGTCCATGCCTCAAGGAGATACAAAAAATTGTTCTGACAAGTACAGCCCACACTTTACGAAGGGCTTTAGCGATGTAATTTTTTTTTTTTTTTTGTCAGTGGAAAATGTCATGATGCCATTTCTAACCTTAGGTCCCTGGGCGGGACCCGGAAAGAAATGTGTAAACGCCAGAAATCAAAGAAATTAAAAATAATAATAATAATATGTATCGGAATAATAATAATAAAACAAATAAGCATCAGTATAATAATAATAATAATTGTAATAAAACAGATATGCATCGGAAATTATTAGAATTTTTTCTCTTTCACTATGTACAAGAATAATAAGACCCCGCTTTATTTGACAAGTAGTTGGTTTGTTTTGTACATAATAAATTAAACTTTTGACAAAGGCAGCGAAGTTCTCTTCACCACGAAGTTTTATAGTTGATTCCTTGCCAGACTTCGTTTAGATTAGGCCATATCTCGCGTCAGCGAAAAACAACGCCTCCTTGTAGCCCATTGTCTGATATCAACAAGAAAAACGAACAAATCAGATCACAACGCGGAAGTTTGTCAAATTCTTACTCCATAGAACGGCGTAGATACAATCTGGCAAAACATGGCGAGACTTTTGAGCAGCTGAAAAAGAAATTTTCACACGCAAAAAAAAAAAAGAAAAGAAAAAAGATAAGCACGATGTTGACCAATCATCGTCCTCCAGTAGCCATTTGAAAATAGATATGAACTGTACTTTTTTTTTTTAATCAGTATCACCATACGCAAAGCAGTAAAGCCACTAAGACACAAAAGGTTACAGGGTGTGGAAGAATTAGGAAGAGAAACATTAATAATAAGCGGGAAGTTGAATGAATAGTCAGGAGGATAGTAGATAGCGATTGACATTGCATTTCAATTTTTGCAGATAAAAGTTGGCTGGAAAGCATGGAGCCTGAAGGGGGTTCCACAAGCGAGAAGTGCGAGAAAATTAGCATAGAACTTACGGCGACATCTAACTTAATTACGGTAATTAGCGTGACCAGGACACCTCAATCTGGTGTAATGGTTAAATGCAATGTCAGTCGTAATCTTCCGTCGTCTTGTTCTTTTATCGATAATGTTTTTCTTTTTCTCATATTCTTTCACGCTGAGTAACCCTCTTGCGCCTTAGTGGCTTTATTGCCTTAAATAGAAAAGAAAAAGACGACGACGATAAACGAACGAAGATAGATTAGTCGTTGAAAAAAAAAAATGACGTATAATTTGATAGATTAAGGTTATACATAGGCATATAATATATATAACAAGAATTACATTAAAATCATTATCAAGATGGATGTAAATCTTCATCATCATCATCATCATCATCATCATCATCAACAACAACAACAACATTAAATCAATTTCGTTTAATAGGTTAAAAAATTCCTTTTATGTGATAAGTTTTTAAAATATTTTGGGGCGTTCCCTAATCCAACATTTGAACTCTTAACGTTATTTTATTTTTCTGTATATGAGTAGCTAGGTTCATACTCTTCCTCGATCTTTGAAACAGGAACAGGTTTATCGCTTATTTCCTGTCCAGGATAGTGTTACCGATTACTTCTAAAGTCTTTTTTATTCGCTTTCACACCCAGTAGACCATTGCGTCTTAGTGGCATTATCGCCTTGCTTGAGGTGAATTGCTTTAAAAAAAAATGCAGATTACTAAATCAACTTTCTACACTTGTTTTGATAAAGTTCCTCAAGGAACGAAACGCATTGGCATAAAAGGTTTTCCTGTTGTGTTTAGTTTATAAAAAGTATTACACCTGATTAATACATATGCATCTAATGTACTAAAGCTGCCGACCGACATTTAATGAAAATATTTTGTTCCCATTTTGCTATTTGTGTTTCTGTTAATCCGTTCTTTCTTCTAATCTAACCAACATTTTATCAAAACATTTAATATTTACTCTTTGCCTTTTCCTCGAGACTTCTAGAACGCAGGGTTTTACAGGGAGTGAAAGAGAAAACTTAGAATAGGGACGATTGGGGGAAGGACGAAAAATGAACGGCGTTCAAGATAGAAGACAGCGTTTGACTTTGCATTTAAAATTTTTAAAGATTGTAGTTGGCAGGAAATCAAAAAAACTGAAGGCCGTTTGCTGCCAGTATTGATTATTCTAATATATTTCCCAAATATATCAAGGTTGCTGAGCAGTTCTAACAGATCTTTGTGGTGTACTTTATCGAACGGCATTGCGTAATCTATAAAACACAGGTACACGTCCTTCTGCATCTGTATTCCCTATTCTGATAAAATTCTGAGCATAAATATTGCATTCCTTATTCCAATGCCTTTGACGAACCCGCACCGTTCTTATCCTATTTCCAGTCTGATTCTGTTATTCATCAGAATTTGGATAAATTTTGTTATATGGCTCATATCAGAATTCAGATGATCAGTTTTGTTATGTGGCTCATTAAGCTGATT